TGGCAATTAAAATAAGAAACTGTTAAGTTTTTGTTATTGGTAATCCCGTTTCACAAAACTCCTTTCAGTTGTAATTTTATTCGATCTTTTATTTTAGTGAGACTATGAATATTTAGATACGAATCCAACCCGAATTATACCTATGCAAGGAGTTTGTAATCTTAATCATTTCATGTTTGTCACTTTGGTGAATAAGTATAGGGATCGAGCTGCCTAGTCATCCAGTATTTTTGCAGAGCACCTGAACTTCTAGGAAGAAAGTTTTACTGCTCAAGCGGTGAAATGTGTGCTCAAGTGGTCTGCGTGATCCTGTTTTTTATAAAAGTGTGTTGTTTGCTGTTCGCTGTTTTCAAGGTTTGAGTCGTCCAAATTTTCAGAGAGGCAGAAGAAACAGAGTGTTTTCTTTTGAAGGGTGTTTTATATGAATTTCCTTGGTGTATAGGAGGTGATCGATTGATCAATGAACTATAGGTTGTCAAACATCAAGGGTTGTTCTTATTTTTTTGTTCACTAAGAGAGAAGCGTTCTTCAGTGGATTCCGAAAAACTTGGGCCTGAAGCTTTGGTTGGTTCCGAAGTTGCTCATCATCATGGATTCGACATTAGTGTTGTGGATTTAATGTTGGACAAGACAATTCTGAGGTGAAGACAGTGATGGAATAGGCACAATGGGATTGGTTCAATTCGAGCGTGGATTCGCTAGGTAATTGAGAGTACACTTGTGTAATTCCTTTTTGTCTTCTTAGTAGATTGTTTTGCAACTTTCGCTTGTGTTTTTTTTTTTTATCACAATTGGAGGTGTTCCAATTGTGGTTTTTCCACGTTAAATCGTTGTGTTGATTTGTCTTTGATTTTTTGATTGGAATTGTTATTTATTATTTAAAAATTAAAGCATAATCACAAATCAATATCACGGGAATTTTTAGATTTGTCAAAATCTCTGGAGCCCCACACGTAGATATGCTTACCATAGGAGGAGACCGTTATCTTTTGAGGTAGGGAATCATGTGTTCTTGAAGACATCACTGAGACAGGGTTTGATGAGGTTTGGGAAGAGCGAGAAGTTGTCTCCTAGATTTATTGGGCTTTTTGAGATTCTAGAGTGGATTGGAGAGGTAGCTTATTGTTTGGCCATGCCACTCCAACTATCCAGGGTTCACAATGTGTTCCATATCTATGTGCTCCAGAAGTATGAGCCTGATTCTTCACACATTGGACCAAGTTAAAGATAGATGAGGATGCCTCATTTGAGGAAAGACTGGTAAAGGTTTTAGACTCTCGGGACCAAGTCTTGCGAGGCAAGACTATTCCATTAGTTAAGGTATTATGGCGACACCATAAGGTTGATGAGGCGATTTGGGAGCGTGAGGCAGAAGTCCGTGAGAAGTATCTAGACCTATTTGTTAATGTTTGAAACATATATTGAAAATGTTGTAATATATTAACATTGTATATGTTTCGAGGAAATTGAACTGTGATAGTTGGTATTGAGAAACTCGGTGTATCCTAGTTACAATCTAGATTATATGGAAATATTTTCAATTTCTTTTAATGAAGGTTAATTTTAAATTTCGAGGACAAAATTCCTTAAGGGGGGAGATTATAATTATTCTAGTTTAGACCTGACCCATTTGTTATTTTTGAATCTGAGGACCCGTGTATTTAATTGTTATTCAACTCATTTTCAGTCTTATTGCTCATTGAGTTTGGCTATTGGGAGTTTTGGTTATGTTTGAAACAGGTTTGGAAGTTAGTTTTTCCAAGTCTTGTTGCCCAGAATTTTGCTTGTTTGCTTAAGCAACCATTCCTACGCTCGAGCGGTCTTTTGCAGTCTGCAAAACTACTGAGAGTTTGAGTTCTTCACTCGAGCGATTTTTCTTGCACTCAAGCAAACTTTTACAGGTCTGAAACTACTGAAAGGGGACATTGTGTGCTTGAGCAGTGGTTTTGGTAGCTCAAGCCATGTCTTCTTTTTGTGTTTGTCATTCGAGCGACCATTTCTTTGCTCGAGCCGTCTGTGCATATATTAGTCCAAGAGAAAGGCCCTTTCAATTACTTTTTTTATCTCTTTCTCTCTCTAAACATTCCAAAGCCCTAGATCCACTCTCTCTCTCTCTCTCTATCTAGTTCTTGAACTTTAGCTTCAAATACTCTCAATCTATGAGTTTCCTCAGCCTAATCCTTTGGAGAAAAACGTTGAGCATGTCGAGGGCTTCGTTTTAATCGGAGCATCTAGTGCTTTTGACACTGTCAAGTTCTAACCATTTTTTCTTCGTGTCTTCTACTTTAAGATAGGGATTTCTTTGACTCTTTTATATGATTTTTAGCTTAGCTATTTGCTTTTTCAAAAGGGTTATCTATTCAAAATTTTTTGGTAAAACCTAGAATTTGGTTTGAAATCAAAAGAGGGGTTTTCTAAATTGATTCTTGAAAATGGTTGTACGAATATGATTGTGGGTGAGTTGTGTTGAAATGGTGGAAATCTTTTTTCAAAAGTGATTTTGGAAAGAAAAAGGGCTTTTGCCCTAATTTTGGATATTTGAAAAAGGAAATGGAAAATGATGTTAGATATTGTGAAATTGGAACAATGGTTATGTTGATGATGATGGTGGAGTTGGATATGTAATATCACTCCCATTATAATTGATGAAAATGTATCTTTTGATTGGAGATTATCTATTGTACATAAATATCTATTTTGGGCTATCCGTGGAAGATAGTTTTCATTGTTGTAGACATTGCATAAGGATTAGGCTGAATTGAAACTAATTTCTCATCCATTGTGCATTGTGCATCATTATACATTGAACGTTGTAAATATATTGATTTTGAGAAGAAAAAAATGGGTGTATACCTTGGTGAATTTGGTTAGGGGGTGTGGTTGTGGTTTATATTGTTAGCATGTGTGTCCTTGGTGAAAGTCTAGAAACCCGCACAATTAGGTGCCGATCCTTCCAGTTAGTACTGATAAAATGGCTTGGGTAGTATTTGTATAGTCTACTGGCAAACATATATCTAGAGATTCCCAGTATTTTGTATCCACTGCCCTCTTTTCTGTATAGAAGGATTGTTTTTATGAATTTATATATATATATATATATAATCTGGCATTTCATGGTCTAGAGATGGAAAACGAGGAATGTTTAAAAATGACATGCATGTGCATTCACCTTATGATTTGTTAAGATTAATATACTGTGTTAAAGTATTCCTACTGAGCTTTGACTCACCCTATGTGGAAAACAACTTTCAGGTGCTAATGATATACCTCTACCAAGGACATAGCTTGGGGGACTCGGAGCTTAAGGCTTTCCTTTTTGTTTCTTGATGTAAATATGTTGTTCAAGCCTCGGGCTTTACTTGGATTGAGTTTAAACTCATTTTTTAGTAACCAAGCATCGTCTTGGAGAGATCATTTTTGTGAGAGAGATCATTCTTATGTGTCAAATACATTTTTGTGAGACAGATCATTTTGTTATAGAGAGATTTTGCCAAGTATTTGAGAGTAAACTTTGTAGTGAGGATTATATTGGAATACTCTCATGTGCTTGATGATTCATTAGCATCTAAGAACATCAAGCTAATCATCAAGCTATTCTAAGTCCTTCACACCTTTCAATTGTGAACTATTCTCGGAAGATTCCGAGATTGTAGACTTTGGTGGATTCCAAAGTCATTGGTGTTGTGGCGATTCGACAACCGTTGCGAAGTTCTAGTGGAGGAAGAAGAGTGACGCATAGGTTGAGCAAACGCGTGAGCCCTGAGTGGCCTTTGTAAGATATCTCTTGTACTCTTTTTCTTTCATAGTGGATTGTTTGTTTGGCCAAGGGCCCGTGGTTTTTTATCATAAGTTGGTAGACTCCAATTGTGATTTTTCCACGTAAAAAATATTTTTGTGTCGTGGTTGAATTCTCTCTACTCTTTCTCTTTTCTACATTGATTGTGGTTATATAATTTTTAATTTGGATTACCTAAATCAACAATCATTTATCACGAGACAAATATAGATTTTCAAAAGGTTTTTTTGATAAAACTAGATTTTTCACCATTGATACAATATATGGCTTTGTCTTCTGTTGAATTTTAATTGTCCAATTTGATATAATATTTCTCATATTTATAATTAATCTTCTATCAATTTAAAATATAAAAAAAAAATTAAAAAAAATGACACAAGCATAAAAGTAAACCAATGTTTGGAAAGTCACATTATTGTATACAGTTAGATGGACCAATGTTTCTCTGTAATGCGTATTTTTAACATTTAAAATAAAAAATTTAGATTAATGCTTTGGGGCTTAATCTAAATTTTACTTCATATAGATTATGAGTAGGGGGCTAGGTAGGAGCACATTAGTTTTGTTTAGTAGCATATCTAAAAGTAAACCAATCCCTAAAACTTTATTTAGAATACTTGGTGACAAAAAAAAAAATGATTAATTAAATTTGACGTCGAAATGAAATAATAGAAATAATTGATATTTCTCTTCATTTATAGAGGGAAGGGAGAGAGTTTTAAAAATCAAATTATTGTCCCCAAAATGAAGGGAGGAACATTTAGGGACTAATTTTTGTTAAAAAGGCAAAAAACAGATTTTTGCATTAAAATTTTAAAAGTATTGTTAATAAATATACTTTAAGAAACAACAATTTGGTGCATAAGATGTTCGCTTTTAGACAAATTTTGGTCAAAAAACGATAATAATTCATCATTTAATAGCTAATTTCATCATTAAACATACAACAATGACATTTTTGACAATTTAAATATTTTGTTCTTAAAAAATAATTTTATTCATAATTTTTTATTTTTAAAATCTTAATTTGTTGTAATGGTTTCATGCTGTGACCAACAATTTGGTGATTTTTTCAGGGATTAACAATTTGGATTTTTATTGAAAAGACCAGCACTGTTTGATTGTATTCGTAATGCATAAAGCATTTTATAATAACTAGATATAATGGATTAAAGCAAATAAAAAGGGTATTGATGAAGGATACCTTTTCATTAAACAAAAATTGTGGCTGGGTAGAAGAATTTCCTTCAGATGTTGACATCTTCTCCACTTTGGGGTAGAAGCTTATGAGCTTGGGTAGATTCGCGAGACGCAGATATTTCAACTGACTGAAATTAATTACTTGACTTGAGAGTTCATCTTCATATTTTTCTTCTTCATTTCCAACTATTGCTTCCATCATCTCACAAGCAAATATTCGTAGTCTCTGGAGTCGTGGAAATCCTCTTGCACAGGACAAGGAGAAGAGATATTTCAACCCACAATCTATAATTGTTAATTCAAATAAATTATTGAAGAACCCTGATGGATTTAGTCGATGACGTTCCATCAAAGACCCCTCTCTACCTCTGTCATGCAGCACCTCTTGTAAACCTTCAATTTTTTCCAAATGTAGTTCTTCGGCTCTCGTCAACAAAACGATTAACTTGTCCATTAAGGAAACACCCGCAAGTTTACACGACTTCGAATAAGTTCCATAAAAAACATCAGCCTTACCCACAAATATTTTAAATCTGATCAAATTTTCAAAGCACAAGTCCTTGGGCAATAGCATGACATTTGGTATGTGAATATGTAAAGTGGTTAATAGCGTCAATTTCCCCAACTCATCAAGATTCACTTTGCTTCTTTCCTCCCTATACCCAAACTCATCTAAAATGTATAATTCTTCCAGGCGAGACAAATTGGATATGACACCTTGTGGAATCTCTGTGAGCTTTTTACAATTTCCCAGATCTAACAACCGAAGACGAGTCAATTGTCCTATCTTTGATGGCAAAACCTCGATATTAGAACCTCGAAGGCTAAGTATTTCAAGGTTATTACTTAGATCCTTGAGTATAGCTATGTCTCCCAACTCACAATAATCTAACCATAACATCCGAAGGTTAACCAAATTAGCAAGAGATAATGGAGGCAACATACAGATTCTATTCAATTCTAAAATTGTAAGTTTCTCCATTCCACTGAAAAACCTATCTGGAACGTTAAGCAAAGGATTGATATTCCTTTTCAATAGTATGGTCAAGGTGTGGAGTTGTGGACATAGCAAATTATCCGGAAGCTCAAGAGTGTTGTCGAACCTTAATGACATTGCTGAGGAAGATTCGCATGTATCTTTCTCGGGCCACTTTTTGACACCATGTTTTACTAGAATTTCCTTGCCATCATCTTTGGCAATTGAAAGAGCAACGTCTCGAATGACATCATGCATTTTGACAAAGTTTTCATCTTTGCCTTCTAACAACAAACAAGCATCTTTGAGGATGTCGACCGCTGTAAGTACTCGACGGCTTGCTCTTATTAGTGTATTTGTGTTTTGTCCAAGCAAACTTCTCGCTATGCAGTGTCTCGCCAACACTTCAATTGAAATATTAGCATCTTCAGGAAAGAAACAACATAGCAAGAAGCATGATTTTGCATCGCTCGATTCTAACCGATCATAGCTTAACTTTAAGGAAGCATACACCTTTGGGTCGATTCCTGCAATATTATTTAGCATGGAATCTTTGAATTGATCAAGTACATCTTCCCAAACATATTTTTTCTTATCTTTCAATGCGGCTCCAATTGCAAGTATAGCGACCGGTAAGCCTCCACACTCTTTACAGATTGCATCAGCTATATCATGGAGTTCAGCAAAGTCAACAGAATTTCCCACCTTCGTCTTGAACAGGGCCCATGCTTCTTTCTCTAATAATACTTGCATTGGAACATATCTATTAACATGCATCTTTTCCAACACACCTCGGATTCGAGACGTTATCACAACTTTGCAACAATTGTTTCCATCAGTGATAGGAATCCCTATTGTCTTCAAGTCCAATTCTTGCCACACATCATCCAATATAATGAGATTTTTCTTCCCATTGTTCAATCTATTCCACAATTGGTTTGCTTTTCCCACTTCAGTTTCCCCTTTTAGTTCCAGATTCAAGCGATCAGCGAGTTGCCCTTGAATGTTGCTCACATTTGCGTCCTGAGAGACAATTGCTACCACGACTTCATCAAAAAGTCCATTTTTCACTTGTTTGCCAATCTCTTCAACCATTGTCGTCTTACCAACGCCTCCTGTTCCATATACTCCAATCATTTTAACATTGGAATCTTGTAATGCCACCATGATGTTATTGAAAACCAATTCTCGCGACTCAAAATTTGCATAGTTCGCACTTGATGATGTGAATTGAAGTTCTTGAGCAAATGGCTTAGGATGTGCAACTGTGCTAAAATCACCACTTTGAGTGAGTTTTTTTACTTCTTCCATCTTGTTTTGGGCTTCTTTGCTAATACGGTAGCGCGAGATGTAATCCGGACATGAGAATTTAAAGCACTGCATGTTTTCGTTCATTGTATCGTCATCCTTAATTTTTTGAACTATTTCTTCCACGTCCGCTAGCCAGATTGAAACATGTTCATCAACTTCTTCACCACGAGTAATGGCTTCATCAACTTTTTCTTCGATCTGTTTTCTCTGCTGTTCAAGGCTTTTGATTTCAACTTCCAGTTTCTTCTGCTTCTTCTTGTACTGAAAAACAAAACCAACGTGGAGCACCACCAATTGGATCACGGGCTCAACTATTCTCCCTGCAATTGCCCCTACAATTGAAAATACACCTTGCAGTTTTCAATCCACTTTCTTTTCTGGTTTTTTTTTTTTTTTGAAACAAATATTGAAGAAGAAACTAGTTTGAGGTTCGAATTTTAGAGGTTAAAGCTCTCTCAATCCGTATCTGCATATAAAACAAAAAGAGAGATATCAAAGAAGATAAATAAAAAGTGAAGATAAAATTCTCTTTTTTCCGATTAGGAAAATAAAAAAATGAAAAAGAAATTAACATTAACTAAGTAGAAAAAGAAAACGGATAGGGTTATTGTTAGGCTTAATTCATTTTGATGATCCGAATTATTCATATTGTAAAGTATATCAAACAAATTATTCATAAAAAACAAAAAATAAAAATTAAGTTAATCGGATATCTATAATCCCATGATCAAGTCTTAATAATTTTGTAAGAAACAATTATCAAAAAATCATGCTAACTATTTATTTTTTAAAAAAACAAATGGTGTTGTGAGGTTACAATTGTCTTATTAACCTCTTTTTTTTTTTAGACGATTTACTCAACATTAAAATATACGTAAAATATAACTATAATTCATTCAAATTTCAGCCACTTATCTTATTCTATTTCCAATCTCTAATCAAATTCATGATGAGCTTAAAATATAGATCAATAACACTAAGGCCATGTTTGGTGGAACTTCCCCGAAATTTTTTTTCTATGACCATTTTTTTAAAATTATTTTTAGTTTGTTCAAACAGAAAAAAAGTCAAATCACTTCGTTTTTTTTTCAAAATATATTTTCGACATTTTTTTTTAAAATTGAATATAAACTATTTTCATTGAAATAAATACTAAAATCAATATTTCACTCAAAAAAAAAAAAACATGAATCAATGAACACTCAACATTTTTTAATCCTTTTTAATTGGTAAAATCTCTGTTTTGTTTAGTTTTTGAAAATTATCATTAAGTTATATGTTTTTTTTTTTTTTATTTTTGGTGAATTTTTTTAGATGCACTTAATGTAAATGTACTTCAAAAGAAAAATATTTTTAAAAAAATATTAAACGATTCACTAAAAACAAAAAATAATATTAATAAATATTTTTTATTTTTAGTAATTTTTTTAATTTTCTCAACAAATATTTTACTATTTAGAAGCCTCTAGATTAGATGTATCTAAAACTTAATAAATATTCCACTAAATTTACAACATATATATATATATATATTATTGAAGACAAAAAATGCAAAACACAAAAATATTAAAGATTAATTTTGGAATTTGAAAACCAAACAAGGTGTAATTTTATAAATATAATAATCACTAGGGGTTAGTAATGACAAAATATAATAATATTTGATGGCAAAATTAAATTTTAATAATTATCATAGAATTGAAAAGTCACTTCTTCCCAAGTTTTTATTTATTTTTATTTTTTAGATCAGTACTTCTCCCCAAGTTGGTTCGAGAAGCCACTCTCTGCGACTTTGGCAACAAAATGGACTTTCACAATAAGATTTTGCGTTTGTAATTTATTTAGATATTTTATTTATGTTTTTAATTGAAAAGAATTTAAATATTTTATTGTGTTTTTAATTTGGACATTCTTTTATCAAATGGTAAGTGTTGATATTTGATATTTTTGTGTAAAAAATATAAGAGCATCCCCAACGGTGAACTTCTTTTTTCATCAAATTTGAGAAAAAAAAAGGACGATTCTCTCAATTTGATACCATTGGCTCCAACGGTAAGCATCAAAAGGGGGAGGGGCGACCGATTGGTTGACCAGTAAGGCCACATTCCAGATCAAAGATCCAAGAGTTACTGATCAGAAATGAAATCAAAAAATCTGGACTTGAAACAGAGATTGAAGATGAATTTGAAGATTGAGGTATACTAGAGTCAACTAAATCCCAAAATTGAAGAACTAGATCTAAGAGTCTGTTCCAAACTCACAGTCGAAGTGGTGAAATCTAAGTTCAATCCAAGCTTCGAAGTCAAACTCTGATAGAAATCCAAGTCGCAATAGTCAAATCACAATTGCGACCAAAATGAAGAACTAGATTTGCAGCTATATCCAAGTTGGAATTGAGCTACGAGCACAGAAGTCAATTGTGAACTGATTCATGGCTTCGGATCGAAGTTGGATTGCAACTAGCCTTTGGATCAAAGTTGGATCTTAGCTAGGACTTCAGATCAAAATCAGGGATTCGGGGTCTGATCTATGGATTCATATTCGAGTTCAGATCTCCACAGAGACAATTCGAGCATGAGGGAAGAACCAGCAGTGAAGCAGATTGAAGCAATGGGTTGACCGGCCGGTTAACCGGTAAGGAATTTTTTTTTTTTACCTGTTTGAACCTTTTTGACCGGTTTGAACCTACCTAGTCGGTCGACCGGTTGGTCAATCGGCCGGGTAACCGGCTGGTTGACCGGTTCAGCTCTTAAAACGGTCAGGAACAGTAATTTGGTAAAATCTGTAACTTGTTCTCAATTTGATGATGTTTTTGTTGAATTCTCATTTTGATATCAATTTGGTGAAATAGTTGGAGCACCAAAAAGTGCTTTTTTCACCAAAAATTGAATCTGATGCCTAGTTTGGTTCACCATTGGAGATGGTCTAAGGCTTAATTTTGTCATTTAAAAAAAAAAAAACAAATTAAATAGTTTTTGATTGAAAAATAAAAATGAAATAGTTTTGATAATGCATGATTTTCTTATATATATTTATTATTGGTATTTGACAATTTACTTGATAATTTTTTGGTTATGTTGAGTTGAATTGTTATCCAAAAAAAATGTTGACAAATTGTTATATTATATTTAAAATTTGTAAAAGTTTAAATCACCAAACCAATCGCATTCATATGCCAATCCGCCCAATCCAGCGGATGGATGCGGATTGATTTTTTTGCAATCCATCAATCCGGCAAACGGATGGCAAATTGGAGGTTTCCCGACCGCAACCGAACCACGAGCACCTCTACCTACAATAAATGCACATATGTAGAAATCTCGCTAGAAAATCTCACCAAACAAATATATATATATATATATATATATATTGTTGGACTTAGGGGTGGTTTGGAATAAATTGTTTAAGCCTGATTTTTTATTTATTTTTTGCCTATTTTAGTCTGTCTTAAAAAGTTTTGTTTGGGATAAATTTTTTATTTGTTTATAATTTTGTGAGAAAAAAAGTGAAACGATTATAGTTTGGATGAAATATTTTGTGCTTTTTAACCTATTTTGTCTTTTTGTAAGCTAATTTAACCCCAAAAAAACATCCCAAGCGACCCCTTAGAAGTTCCACCAACTACTCTAAGGTTGTGTTTGGTTTATAAATTTTATGAGAAATTTAAAAAAGAAATAAGAAAAATATGTTTGAAATTAGGTGAAATATAAAATACAATCCTTTTCATTTTTTTCATTTTTGGTTTATAAATTATAAATTATATTTCACCTATCTTTTTCATTTTTTTTTTCTTCAAATTCATTCTTAAGTCCTTGAACAAAATACAATCTAAAGCTATGTTTGATTCATAGATTTGTAAGGTGATTTGAAAAAAGAAAAAGAAAAAGAAAAAATATGTAAAATATAGGTAAAATATAATTACATTTCATTCATATTTTATATATATTTTTTCCTTTCCAAATCCCTCTTCTTCTTTTTTTAATGTTTAAAACTTTAAAATTTTACAACTTTTCAAATATACATATGTTTTTTTATTTTTCCTTTCCAAATCCCTCTTCTTCTTTTTTTAATGTTTAAAACTTTAAAATTTTACAACTTTTCAAATATACATATGTTTTTTTATTTTATTTATAAAATTTAGATTTTTTATAGGAAAAAATTTATTTTATGCGCTTAAAGTGCTTTGGTTTCAAACCATAAGGGCATAAAATAAATTTTTTCCTATAAAAAATCTAAATTTTAAAAATAAAATAAAAAAACATATGTATATTTTAAAAGTTGTAAAATTTTAAAAACCAAAGCACTTTAACCTTATAGTTCAAAAATAGTCAGAAAAGTCTCATGTGATTTTGAACTAAAGTAGAACATACAGTAGTTTCTAATTGTTGTTTGAACTGTTCAATTTTCAAAACAAGAATTGGATCGGTTAATTGAGTTTCAATTTGTTTGTAGTTGACTTCTTCTATAAGAAATTGCAATTGTTTTGTTAATCAATTAACAGATTGAGATATGGAACATTCTTTTAACAAATTTAATTCTTTAATTTCAGGAGGAGTTACGAATTTGAAGGTGACTGTTTGACCAAAAGCTTGGGTAGTTATACCATGTTTAGTGGTAGTAAATGGGTATAATAAGAAGATAAATAGAGTTATTAAAATGACTTTATCAGTCATATTTCAGACTAAAACAAACGATGTTTTAAAACAAACTTGGTTTTGACAAATATGTAGCTTGGGTAATTTGTATTTGATATGCATTTGACTTCCATTTGCCGAACTTAATTGTTCATGTAGCACTCTGTACTTCCTGTTATGATGGAATTATATTTGACTCTTTGATTATCTTGATTGTGAATATTCTTAGCCGATATTTGAACCTTGGTTGAGGTGTTACCATAGTGGTGGGGTGAGATTGAATCAAAAACTCCAAATTCTAATAGTTGTCATTGAGTAGTCTTTACTCCTTTATCATTTTCTCTCTCCACACTTTGAATCTTAATGTGAGGATAGAACCATTAGAAATCTTACTTCTGGGGCTTCAATTTGGACACAAGAACGACCCTAAACGGAGTCCAGACGAGAGAGATATAATTGTTTGAAATTTGCGAATCTGTGCTATGAGTATAGTGCGCTCTAGCGCAACTTTCGACACTCGAGCATGCAACGCATAATCAAATCTTTAAAAACCACTTTTTGGATCAAATCTCTTCATTTCTTACTTCCCTTTCTCTCTCCTTTCGGCATTTTTGGTTTCTTAAGCTTTGTAGGCTTGATTTCATCTATTTCTATACATCTTTGACCCCTAGTTCCATATATCAAAACGTAGAGCACGATAAGGGCTTCCATTTAATCTCAACGGATCGTTGTTTCGTCACCGGTCCGACTAAACTAGAACCATTAGAAATCTTACTTCCGGGGCTTCAATTTGGACACAAGAACGACCCTAAACGGAGTCCAGACGAGAGAG